CAAATTAAAAGGTCACACATTGGTGAGAATTGCAATGAAATAAACATGCTCCGTGTAGAACCCGCTCGGTTTTGAGAAAGAGCTTAAAATGTGTATCCTGCAGATCAAAAACACTTGTCCTGTGATCCCCTAATTTTTCTGCAAGAAGAATCATTCCAAGAAAAACTATGAACAGTGAAGCCAAAGATGAAAGTGATCTTTATAATAGAAAAGAAGAAATCCAGCGAGTAAGTCTACCTACAAGAACTTACTTAATAGGGGAGGGCTTGGCTAATTCTCCTGCATTTTTGACTTGCCGTCAACATTAGCACGGTACTTCCAACTAACACTTAGGATAATTGAAGCTCTTGAGGCAAAAGTGTAAAGAAAAATAATTGTCAGAACATGCAATCAGCCTTTATTAATGGTCATAGAAGGGGGTGGACCAACTTTTACATTTTCTATTTCTGCAATGCTTTATTTTTGTCTAATCAAAATAAATCACTTATAATTAGAAAAAGAGGAAAAATAAAAACAAGAAGTAGATTCAAAATTGTATACATGATATGATTATGATTTGTTGACATATCTGTGCAGAAAAATAAATATATAGAAAATATTGTAGTCAGTATCTGAAGGGCTGAGTTATAAGCAAGTTCCGATTTTGTTCTAACAAGTTCCTATTTCTATTTTTTACATAATTCTTTATACTTTCCAAAGTCTAACCTGTCCTCTCATTTTTCTAATATGAAAAACCAAACAATGTGCTAATGTAAATACAGAGCTTAAAATAGTTCAGCTTCCAGGCTGCAGACAAGCAGATTTTTTTGTTGTTTTTTTGACTGCAAGTGTGGACAAGCCATTCACGTACTGTCTCTGCTGAAGTGACCCAGAGGATGTTTTGCTGCAGCTGGAAGGCATCGTTTAAGCGTCCAGACTTAGGTGGTGTCCCGTGAGTCAGGGAGAGGGGCTCTCTCACCGTGTGCTGTAGGGTAGGAGGTGAGTGGCTGAGGCTGGGTGGAAACAGCAGAGATCGGCTGTGGTTGTCAGGGTTGCCAGGCCCTGCCTGCGTTCTCTGGTTCTGGGACAATCTGGTAAGACTTGGTGCAAGCCCAAGCTTCTGGACGGAGAGTGGGGAGATTTCTCCTCCTCTGCACTAGGGAAAGGGGAGACGCTGGTCCACATCCGATTAGAGGTAAGAAAGGGTTCCAGCGTCAACAGCATGCGTAGCATTCTGCTGAAAATTTTAATATCGATGGCTGCATTTGCAAACACAGTTTGTTACCACTCACTACCACAGTTTCACTTGATCAGGGCTGAAGACTGTCAGAGGGAAACGAGGGAGGCTTTGAATTCCGTAACCAGCGAATGCAGTGAAAACTGTGGTCATCGTTGGGCAAGGGACGGGAATTTCAATTTCCTCAGCACTTGTCTCTCAGCATATCAAAAATCCCTTTTCTTGCAGAACATGTTTTCATATCTCCTCACACCCTGGACTTTTTTACTGACTTTTCTTTTCACGCTGCGGTAACTCATGTCTTACGTGCCTTTTTTTAGCCCGCTGTGTGGCTGACAAACCTCAGAGTCCGTAGGTGGTCGTGGAACGGTGCCCCAACACGGGAAGGAAAGTAGGTGTGGAGCTGACAGGTCTCAGGACAGGATCTTTCAGCACCAGACTCGGAGCTTCCAGCCTGCAGAACACACTCGAGCCCGCCGCCCTTGCTGTGCCCCTGGGGGTGGGTAGCACCTGCGTCCTAGAAGGTGGGCTCCCCTGCCAGGGCGCCCACTTGGCAGCCAATGCAAGGCCAAATGTTTCCAAACATAACCTTCCATGAGCAGATCAGTTATGTCCTGTCTACGCAGTGGTGCAATTGGCAGCCTGTCTCTGCAGACCTGGGCTGATACACCGCTGGGGCCCACGGGCGGTCTGGCTCAGCCGGCCCGCACATCTGGTTGGGCTTCCAACATCTGTGCACATTCATTCCCAGCTTCACTAGCACCTGAGGAAGGAGCTGTTCGCCTGGGATTGCTCATTAGTTGACAAAACAAATGTTTTGTTTTCTACTGTAAGCTGGGACCCAATTCCAAACTAGGGTTATATATTTTAAAATCTACTTCCATGCACTTGAGTATTCTCTTCTACATGATTCAGAGTGGAAAGAGGGCTGTCTAGAACCCCAGCAGCTGGAGGAGAGAGGCCAGTGCTCTGAGCGAGGGAGATAAAAGACTGAAGACCAAATTATTTGGGCAAAATGTTTTCCCCAATAGGTACAGTACTTTAGGCAATTTTACCCTTCATAAATCCTTTAAGTGTGTCTGCAGAGTGAGATAAAAAGCATAGGCCTTTCTCCCAGGGAAGACGCAGGAACCATGAACAGGGGAGGTGTGGAAAACCCCCGCTTTGGCCAGCTAAGAACAGCCATCCTCCTGGGCTTAGGTTTTGGAGGCTCTCTGGGCGTTATGGCTGTAGAGAGCTTTTAAGTACTACACATCCAGGGGGTCCTCAGGCTCAGTGAAACACCAGTGTCCATTGTTTGGAGCTGCACTGGTGACCCCAGTGGGCGCTGGCAAAGTCTGAGAAGGAGGGTGCTGTTCAGCTTTCAGGTGTTCCATCCCCTGGGTATAGGGACCTGTGTCCCCCGTCACACATTCTGGGTGCTCCACCAATCCCACCACCTTCCTGCTGCATCGTACAGCCCCAAGGGTTAGCTCAGGCCCCCTTCGGCAGATGCTTTGGCTCTGGAGGCAGCTCTGCGAGTCCTCCTCCACCCCTCCTAGCCCTAATGTTCCATCTGGGGCAGGACTGTGTGCTTTTTCTCATGTTCTTCACTTTCCTCTGCATTTTTAGGTGTGGATTAGGACCCACGTTTTGGTCGAGTGAGTAGATGAATTAATAAATAAATATAAGTATTCATCTGGCCATTGCAAGCTAGGACGATTACAGATGCTGATAATGTACTATGTATTTCAAAAAGCTATAAGAAAGGATGTGACTGTCTTCACCACAAAGAAATGACAGACTTTTGAGGAAGTAGACATGTTACCCTGACTTGAACTTGACAGGAGGTATGCATGTGTGGATCACGTAGTACCTCAAACCTACATCCCTGATAAATGTGTGCAATTTGTGTGGTTTTATGTCACAATTAAAATAAATTTGAACTTAAAGAGTATCCGCCTTACTTATCATCAGTTTAGCCTCACCCAGTATGTGTTCTATCAGTCAGTGCCTGGGATCTCTTGGTGGGGGACATTGTCAAAAACCAGAGCCCTCAGGCCAGGGTAACATCTCCTTGAGGACATGCTGGCCAGCTCTCCGGCTCACTTGTAGCAGAAGTGTTCCTCTCCTACTCTTTGCTGTTCTTTTCTAACACACACTGGCTTTACTCTTGCCCATGGGAGGCTTTTGATCGCGGAAGGAAAATGGTTGAAACGGATCCGGCTTCTGCGACCTCAGTGCTGGAAGGGCAGTGCGTCTTAAGCACAAGTGCTCTGCTGCAGGGCTGCCTGAGACGTCTGTGTTGACCAGACTGGCTTTGGAGCAGGGAACAGTTAGGCAGAGAGTCTCAAACTTAATGTAAACATAGCTTGATGTGGGGAAAAAAATTAACTCACACCAGGGACCAAAGCGTGGTCTCTGACTGTCTGTAAAACCTGCTCCTCAGTATCTGCACTCCAAGTTCCTCCCTCCTCAGCTGGAGTTAGTTTGGAGGACCGCACTGAAAAAGTGTTAAAGATTTGCTCTAAAATAGTCAGTCAACAGGTATTTCTATGTTCTTCATGAGAGCCCAGGACTGTACACTTCAGTTTTATTTTTCTAGAATGAAAAAACAAAGTGAAATCTACAGAACTGATTGCCAGGTTGCAGCAAAGTACACAGGCTGGTATGCAATTTCTCCCTGGCACCTTCTCCTCTAGCAGGATTCTCTGCAGAGCAGCACTGTGACGCTATTCCCCAGGGACTGTCTTTGGCACTCGAGTCTCATTTGAGAAGGTGCATTAAAGCAGGCTGCTAATTTAGCAAAATCCTTTCCAAAGCTCTCAGCCCAGAACGGCTGTATAAAGCCCAGAGAAAAGGCAAAGATTTGCCCGGCCATGGAGCTGAGGTTTGAAATCCTAGAACACTGTTTTTGAGCGGACCTAGCAGCCAACAGATTTCCTGAGAGCAAATGCCACAAGTTCTGAGATGCAGGAGGAGAATCCTCTTACCATTTGTTTAGCTCCCTCTTGTCTCCGATAAGGAAAAATCACCTCACGTCCTGAAAGAACTCCTCGATGTTATTTCAGCTCTTAGAACTTGTCTCAGAACAGCTTCTCCACGAAATTCCAAGGGAGGGAAGAATTCTCTTCCTAAAGCAAACTGCTGGTCTGGAGGTATCATAGAGACCCACACATCCTCCTCTTGTGTCCTGGTTTTGTGGCAGAACCTGAGACCCTACCCAGCCTCACCTGCCCAGCTCTCTGGGGGCTGAGGTTGCACAAGCTTCTACCCTGACTACAGACAGCTTCCAGGTTGATTTCTGCTTTAAATCCTTCTAGATAAAAGGGGTGGAGGAAGTTCCAAAATTTGACGAGGTATTACATAAAAGGCACTTAACTTCTAAGAAAATCTATCAGTTATAACTGAGTAGATCACTACAAAAATGACATAACTTGAAAATTGAATGACCACTGTTGACATTTTAACAAAATATACAGACATGTAGTGTATATACAATTTATAATATAAGTCATTGAGGTTCATAATACTTGCTATTTCCATACATTTTACATGGAACAACTCTTAAAGGCTTGGTGCTTCCTCCTGTAACACAGAAGGCCCTCAGAACAATGCTCACAACTTCGGAGCTGAAGGCAACAAGGTGTGTCTAGTAGCTTTGTCTTAGTCCTTGTCTGATAGTAGCTTTTCTTATCCAACAGTAATGTGAGGTTATCTCAAAGTCTAGGCACAGTTTTCTTTTTAATGCATGCTTTATGTCAATGCTTAGGTAGTTCGTTTTTCTTTGTTTCTCTTCTTCCAGCCCTGAGGACCCAACCCATGCTGGGCAAGCTCTCTACCACGGAGCTGAATGCCAGCCCTAGCGTCTTTGCTGCCTGACTATCAATGGCGACAGCACCACCACAACACAAGAGGCTCCGGGACAGCATTTGCATGATCAGTTTAATTTTCATGTAAGCTGTGCTTCTCAGAATGCAGACTACGATCAAAGTCATTGCTGGCTGATCTCTCCTGCTCAGGGCGCAGTACCCTGTTCCCCACCAAAGGGGCGGGGGCATCAAGCATATGCTCAGTGCTGGTTAAACAGACTCCTCCACGGCCCTGTACAGAGCTTAGAGTGCGTATTCACTACCTTTTAACTTTCCAGGCAAAAGTAGTTTAAAAATAGTATCAAATGTTCCCAAATTACAAAGAAAATATTTTATTTGTTTGAGAGAAGCAAAAGACTTGACATCTTTAAAATTCCTCCAGGAATTTATATTTTTGGAAAACCATTGACTTCTATATTTTTTATAATATATACATTTATGCAGCTCCTGAATTGTGCTAAGACTGAATATCTGTGATGCAGGTACACATTTTAGGGTTCTCACTATTCACTGGCTTTAAAGGCAACATGATTTTTGGAGACACACATACTACAAGAAAAGCACTTTTGAAGTTTATTCTGTTTAGATATAATTAATACATGAATTTTAAAATGTAAAGAAAAAAAGAGTGAAATATCTACTGCACACATCAAATTTAGGGTTAACGTAATTTTTGTAGCAAAGCTATTTTGTGGGTTTGGCTTCCAAAGCTATATTTCAAATTCTGTTTCTTTTCCCAGCTCCAAAGCCTGACTTTTGACTCAGTTACAGATGAGTCCCAGGGAAGCAAGGCTCGGTAGTGTGCCCAAGAGTGAAAGTTTACCATCCACGGAAAGCTACTTAGCACCATTAGTAACCTTGAACACGGGATGGAACGTGAGAAGTGCCTGCTTTTACGGCTCATTAGTAAAAGAACATTCAAAACTGAAAGTGCAGTGGTGATTTTGAATAGTAATGAATTTGATTAAAATGTAGAGTACTTGGGGGGTTGAGATTTTTTTCTGCTAAGTTTCAAAAAAAAAATCCTGAAATAAAATGTTTTTCTCTTTTTTCCCCTTTCCTTTCCTTTCCTTTCCTTTCCTTTCCTTTCCTTTCCTTTCCTTTCCTTTCCTTTCCTTTCCTTTCCTTTCCTTTCCTTTCCT